GTTCCGAAGACTGGTTGTTGGCGGCGACGGCGTCGTTGCCGAATTTGAACCACGCGTTGTTGCCGGGATCCGGGGCTGGTGATGGCACGTTCGAGTGGGAGGACGAGGGAATCGTGGGAATTGATCAGAATGGAATGTGCTTTCAGTGGGGGGGTGCTGCAGCGACGGTGGGTGGCGGTGCTGGTCAGGGTGGCGGCGTTGGTCTGGGTGGCGCGGAGGAAGGGGTCAAGGGAGGGTTTGGTGGCGGAAACGACAGGGCTGGACTGGATGAGAATGAGGTTCCGGAGATCTTAGAGGCTGCGGATGCAATGAAAGGAGATGGGGAGTTGAGGTAAGCTTGGTTTTGTTTCGTGGGTATCCTTCGTGGGTATCCTCGGTATGGTTTCTAAACGCGTACTCTTATTTCGGTTGGTGCAGAAACATTGTCAACGCGTATTTGAGCGACTCCAGCGACGAGTGCACCCTTCTCTTCCAGTCCACCAAGATTACGCAGAAGTCTTATGGGGTCGAAAAGAGGTTATTTCTGTTCTCGTTTTTTCTGGATTTTTTCTTATCAAAAACAGATTCCTCTGCCCTCCCCCTCAGGTTACGCTCATTGGCGCCCAATGGACCGCCCATCCCACCACCAGCGCACAAGTCGTCGTCCTTCAACCCAACCACATCTCCGCCACCAAAACCCTCCCCGAGACAACCTTCCCCATCCACACTGCCGAACTCACGTCAGACCACTTCATGCGCGTGGATCTCATCTCCAAGACAACGCATCTGCGTGACACCATGGATCTGATGGCGAGGACGCGGGTTGCGCAGTGTGTGTTCAAGGGGGTGTATGTTGGCGATTCGGAAGCCAAGAGGATGGAGATGCGATGTGATGTGTGGAAGGGGAACAAGTTGGAAGGGATTGAGGAGATTTTTGAGGAGGAGTTGAATTGGGATGGGAGTCAGGGTGCTGTTCGTCCGGTTCGTGAGGTGGTTGAGAATGGATTCGTGTTTGGAAGTGAAGGTGAGATTCGGCAGAATTCTGATGACCTTGGTTTTGCGGTTGCTGTTTTGCTAACATTTTCAAACTCAGGAAGCGTGAGTCGGGCACTTAAAGAAAAGGGTGCAAAGGGCGTGGAAGTGATTGAATTGTCCGAGATGGTGACATTGATGCGCGGTGTCAAGTCCATGAATGTGCGCATTGTGAGCAAGCCAACCAAACGCGTCTCAGTGGCTGGTACGTCGCACGCCTTTATTTTTGCCCGTTCGCTAACGGCTTGAATAGAAATGATTTTCTCCGGCACCGCCATCGCCCTCTTCAACCGCCTCAAGTCCCAAAAAATCACTACGAAATACCTCGCCTCCGACCACCAAGGTACCCACCTCACCGTCACGAACCCGTCCTGGCAGCCATGGATTGTCTGGAAGCTCACGGACCCGCGTTTCGACCTATCGCGCGTGCCTTGCGAATCGCCCATCGCGCGCACTGAGTTGGCGGCGATGATGCACCAACAGACCGTGTATGAACCGTTTGACGACGAGCTGGTGTGGGTGAAAGGGACGCAGAGATTGGGAGTGCATGAGGATGTGGACGTGTTGCAGTTGTTGGCTGCTGGCAAGTTGATGGCCGCGGCGGCAGTGAAGGGGGGGAGTGAAGGAGTGGATGACTTGTGGTTGAAGTTTGGGGATGTGGTGGTGTTGCAGAATGCTGTGACGGGACTCTGCACGCGTCCGCTTGTGTGCCAGCACATGGATTCGTTGGGTGGGAGTGAAGAGTGCAAGTTGTTGGAGGAGGCGAATCGTGGGTCTCCTGTGGGACAGTTGAATCGCGTTTGTTTCTCTGTGTTTGGGGAACGTGGAAAGTATATGACTTTAACGGCGGGGATGGTTCTTGTGGGGACGGAACCGGCTGGGGTAGCTGTGGCGGTGCCAGCATCGAGACATGCGAGCAAGAAGAGAATGGTGGATCGGTTTGAGGTTTCGTTGGGCGAGTCGGCGATTTGGACCGTTGTGACCGTTGGTGTGTGTGCGCCTTTTCTTGTCTCCCTTCACCAACTGAATGCATTCACAGACCAAGCCGAGTACTCGTTCTGGAAGCCAAAATCTCACACGTGCAACGAATCGATCGCCAACATCATTGCCAAGCCCAGCGTCCCCATCCCCACCGTTTTTCGCATCCAATCCCTCGGCAAACGCGTTCTCCTGTTCTCGGGCCAGAACTTCACGTCCTCGCTCTCATGCTTCATTGGCTGCGTTCAAGCCGCCAAGACTGAAGTCTTGTGTGGGGAGATTGCGATTGTGGAAGTCGGGGATGACGTTTTTGGTGGGTGTGGGGCGTTGGGGCGAGTCATGTTTGAGCCGGTTCTTCTCGTCAGTCGGGTGGATGGGTGTGTGTTCCGCACTGGGTTTTATTCGTTTCTTTAATTTTTCTCTCTATTCCGTCGTAATTATCTGAATGTATGTATTATATATTTTTAAGAAATAACCAAACTCCGGAAGAGAATTGAAACTTCAGTGAAACGTGAGTCGCTGAAGGTTGGCTGTTTTCGGACATGCACAAAAATTAATCCACGTTTTGTGGGAGGCGCATTTGGCGCCCGCTTGGCGGGAGGGTGCTCCGGACTTTGTTGAACTTTTTTAGATGCCCGTCGACCCTGCTTTGATATTTCCTATCAGCGTTAATTGCAACGGGTTGAACGCGTCCCCCGAGAATTGGTTCACATTTTTCATCAGCCAGTCCTCCCCTTGGTTGTTTTAGGAATTAATAACCCGTGGAGAAAAAAAAACGCTACTGAAATCAATGCAAGCCGATTGAGAATCACAATTGTCGTCATAATCGTTGATAGCCGATGTTGCAAGGCGGTGGAGGTTGTTGCTCCAGGAGTCGGTGCAATGAACTCGCACACACTGACACACATGCACACACACATAATCAATTTGTTTTATTTTTCCTTAACTGAAGTACTTAAATACAGAAAAAAAAAGAAAATGAACTTCAAAACAGGTCCTTGATCTTGTCAAAGAATCGTCGAACCGACTGCAGGCTCCTTTGGGATCCCGTGGAAGCCATGGATTCGAACGTGCTTGTTCGTGGGGTCTTGAGGCCAAACTCGGACGATGTCGTGCTGGTCCGTGGGACGTCGAATCCGAGTGAGGTGTCACTCTTTGCCTCCTTGTGTACAAAGACAGTGTTTTTGGGGACCATGCCGGCGACGACACTGGGGGAGAGCATTTGGGATCTCATTTTGTTCTTTTTTTGGGAATTGGGTTTTTGTTTTGGAAAGGGGAGAGAGCGGAGGCGCATCGCCATTTTATGGCTGCCATCGCCCATCGGAGGAGTGGCACGCGCGGGAGCCACTTCGTCCCGATTTCGCCGGTGGCACAGCCCAGCAACTCTCCCTTATCATTTTTTAAAAAGAAGAGGAGGATTTAATTATGAGCATTATTGGGTGTTGACGGGACAAGATTTCCAGACATTGCAAGAGCGGTCGAGCTTTCCAAAATATCCAGACCATCCCGACTTTCCATAGTGACGATCCAAGGGCACTGAATGAACTTCTCTGGCTGCAAGTTTCTGTCTTTGACATTGAATAATTTTTTCATGAAAATTATCCTTGCTTAATTTCTACTGTACAGTCCTTGTCAAAAGCATCCCAAATTAATGCTCGGCGGCCAAACCAGCAAACGCAACCGCGACGACTCGCCCACCGCCACCTCGAAGCGCGTGAAAGTGACCGGTACCAGCAGCACGTCCAAGTCGCTGGCTGAGGGGCTGGCTTCCCCGTCCTCGCAGCAACTCTCCGTGTCGAAATCTAAGTCTGCCATCAACAACAACGACAACAACAACATCAGCACTAGCAACTCCACCACCGACTGGGACGACTTGGTTGCGACTGTCTGCGCAGCGAATACGTTGTCGTTGTGCTTCCGAGCGGCGAGGCCCAGTTTGCCCACGCAAAGCACCTGCGCACAAAAACAGCCGCTTTGCCGCGCTTCTCGACGGTGCCGCCGTGGCCGAACCAACCAAGGCCATCGAGAACGCGGAACTCAGCCACCCGACTTCCTCCTCGGAACCCGCCGCGCCCCTCACCCCACTCCACATCCACCCCCCGTTCCCAGGTCCCACTCGCTTTGTGCTTGAGCACATTTACGAAAACGAGATACCCTGAGCGTCACCCACTTTGTCTTTGTCTACGAAAACGAGCGCTTTTCTGGTCCAAGCCTACGGCGAGTTTGTCATTCGCCATCGCATGCGCTCGCATGCGCATTGTCAAAACAGACCACGTGGAAGCTTGGGTATCTGACGCAGGAGGGTTTCGAGTTTCTGATGGGACTCATGGCCGTTCGGGTGGAGAACAATTGTGCCACCATGGACGAGATGGCTCTCGGATTAGTCAACTGGGCGTGGGGTGGTGATGCGACCCATTCCGAGATGTTCGGTGATGCGACCCATTGTTAAGTTTGTTGATTGGTCGCTGGTGTCGAGAACTGTCTGGAGATGGCAAGCGATCTGACCGACGCGTTGGGATGGTGTGTGGATACAGCGACGGCTGTGAAACACGCCACTAAGACTTCAGGGTTGGACGGTTGTTGCTGGAAGTGCAACGAGTGGATTGACGTGGCCCTGTTTGCTGAGAAAGTGCCGACATGCCACAACGGGAGATTCCATGCCTGTGATGGGAAGTTTCGTTAATTGATTGCCCTTATCGCGTTGGTTGTTGGAATATCCATTTTTGTATTTTTCTGCTTTTTTTTTGTGTCCGCTTGAGAGCGTTTTCAAAAAAGAATTTCTGTTGGAGTTAATTTCTACCAAGAGCTGGCTCGATTTTCAATAGCCGTGCCTGTGAGAGAAAGAAAATGAAGAACAGAAGTACAAAGAATAATTCATAATTCAAAGATTGCACATAAACAACTTTTCCTTGCCCTGATTACAATTTCGCGTTCCGCCAGCCAAAAAAGGTGAAGAGATTCTCCAAAAGTTAGTGAAGAATCATATTTAAAAGCCGTCGAGTAAGAAACAAGCCTCCTTAGCTCAGTTGGTTAGAGCGCGTGCCTAGTAAGCACGAGGTCACCAGTTCAACTCTGGTAGGAGGCTCTCCGTTTTCCAAAACGGAAATTTTGGGCGCAAGCTCTTTTTGTTTTGGAGTTTTGGCACTTGCAAGAACCGGAAAAAAGGAGGCAAAAGAGTTAGGGGTGCTATAATTTGAGAATGATCCACGCGTGCAAAAACAAGTGCATACCCTTCCCTCGTAGTTTGTAAGACTCATCCGCTCAGAGCAGTGATTGGTGATGCATGCATTTTTTTCCACGACGGTTCCTCTAATTAATGATTAGAGATTGTGTTTTTCTCTCTTGTACAGAAACCCTGGTCTGGAGGTTCGCTCGATTCTATTATATAGTAGCATGGATTTTCGCAACCACAGAAATGAGGACGAGAAAAAACCAACACGGATCACTTCGACCATCGAACAAATTGAGGACAAAAAAGTCGGGCCCAACCGGGAATTGAACCCGGGACCTCGTCTACCCTAAAGACGAATCATACTACTAGACCATTGGGCCGATAATGTTGTTGGAAGATAAAAACTCTATAAATCATATATTAAATTTTTGGAAATAGATTCACCATGCTGTGTGTTTCTTCTGATTCTGGTTTCCCAAGATGCCATGGAACCAAACAAAACAACAGCACAACGCTCTGGGGCCATCACATTATCCATTTTCGATGCCCATTGCTCACTTGTCTAGAACCTGCTTTGCCAAATTAGTGGTATAAATCATAGACTCTACAACTGCACCCATCAGCGTATTTCAAGCTCGGACAAATCAAGTCGGAGTTGTCAACTGAATCATTCCCTCTCAATATAGAGCATGGGAATTCAATGGGCTGTCCCAGGTGACTCAATTTGAGTGGTGAGCTTGAATCTCATATGGGTCGAACACTATCATTGAAAATCACCAATCTGCCACTGTCAATAAGATGCTAATTCAATTCTTGTTTCATTGCCAGCACTTGATTCATAGGAAATTCAAAATCCATGCCTCTTTCACCTGGTGTGCATTGTACAAAATTATTTATCTTTTGAGTCCTTGTTATATGCTTTCAGCAGCTTGGGAAACAGGTGCTCAGCAGCAACAGTTGGGCTTGAGATCGATAAAAACACATGGACCACCATGTAGTGTATATGCCTGCCAAAAAATATCATGAATCTCATCACTGAAATCCAACAGCAAACAAACTTTATACGTCAATAAATGGGGAGTGGGGGGAGGCTGGGAACTTGGGAGATTTGGTGCTGGCATGAGGGAAGGGACTGGAAAGGAGGGAAATTGAATTCTTGCAAATTGGACCACTTGGCACTTTGTTCAGGACTTTCTGGAGAAGGAGCCAAATCTGGTATGGACATTGAGTCTCCTTTGTGAGTGGTGTTAGGAATCACTCCTAACAATTTGTCAGCATTGCTGATCCTAACCCGATCCCAGCTGATTTCCGATCTTTGATCAGATTTCCTTTCTTGGCGCTCTTCGAAGTTGATGGTTGCTATCGTTCTCGTCTTCTAGCATTGATAGTTAATATCATTTGTGATCAACACGTGGCCTGCGCGTAGCCTGTGCATGGACTGTGTGTGGCTTGACACGTTTTCTTTCATTATGGAATTTCTTATTCTTATCGTTATTCCATTCGCTTAAAAGCGAGGCCTTTCCTTTAGTTTCTCTTCAGTTCAATTATAAAGCTTTCTAGCCTGTGCAACTCTCTCCTTTCCCCTCCTCTTGGAACTCCTAGGGCACAAGTCTCGACCTTGCACTCTCTCCTTTGCCTCAACACTCTCCTTTACTTCTTCTTCTACAATCCCCTCTATGCGACTCTAACAGTATATTTGAACTCCAACACATATGAGCTCCAACATTACTCCTCCTCCCACTGCCAAGGCCGAGGTCACTTGCAACTTGGTCGCTCTCATGGATGACAACGAGGGCATCAATGAATCCTACCATCCTCAAGGCAGTCCCTCCTCGCAAGGCGTGCCCAGCTCCTCCAACGACATTCTTGACGATCCGGACAAGTCCTGTTACTACCAGACTTCTGACATGATGGATGTTCTCATGCAGGTGACTGATGGCATGGACACTTTGACTCAAGATATCAAGTTTGTTCTCACCGTTAATCTACTCAAGACTGCCGTCATGACTCTCGAGGGCCACACCAATTTGGCCGACTTGGCCGACGACGTTTCTCCTGCGGATGCCTCCCCCACCAGCGAGCAGCGTACTGGTCTCACGATCAGACAGCGTCTTGGTCCCCCTCACAACTCTGTCATTCTCAAGAGCCTCGGAAAGATTGACAAATTCTGCGGTCTCAATCGCGATGCCACCAAGGGTTTCCTCATCTCCATCAACATCTTCCTCATGGCCAGTCCTTTTCTCTCGGATAATGAGAAGATTGTTTTTACGGCTTTTCACTTTGACAAGGGTGCCCTCGAATGGTTCGACAACATGGTGCTCTCCACGGGTCATACCTTCCCCTGACCTCTTCTCTGAAACATTTGGTCTGGATGACGTTCTCACCAAAGAAGCTGCGGACAACGAGCTCCATGCCCTTTTCCAAGCCGGCTCTTGCCAAGCGTATGCCACCATTCTCCAGCGTCTCATTACGTACACGGATCACAACGATTACGCCTAGATTCGTATGTTCCAGCACAGTCTCAAACCAAGCACTCTTGCCCACCTCAACCATGGACCTCGGATTGACAATCTCAATGAGCTTATCCGCCAGTGCATTATCTTCGATGACCGCGAGTTCACTCTCAAGAAACGCGGTCCTGGCTCCCCCTACACGCGTTCCAACCCTCCCAGAGCTCCTGCTCCTGCCCAAGTTCACGCCGCGGCTGCCGACGCAGCTCTGGGCAATGGTCCCCTCTCTCCTGAGTGTTGAGAGTCGACAGGACTTGTGTTTTTCGTCTCGACTCTTTTTGGCAAACTTCGCCACATGAATAAAACTTAGACAATTTTCTCCTCAAAACACCA